AGTGGGAGATTTGATTTTATTATTTGAACCTAGCCAATCTAACATCCCAGAGTTAGGTATAAACACCTAATTGTTCGGTGAATTAAACATCTGGTAATCGTACACCTCTAAAAAGACGAAATAAATTCTCTCTGTTAGAAAGGATTTTGTTTAATCCAAATATTATCTGGCTCAATAAATCTTAACTAATGAGTGTTACATTGTTTTACTTACAAAAAACAAAAAGCAATATGTTGAATTATAAGAACATTTGTTTATTTACGGACATTCAACTACATTGGAGATTAATGCTGTTTAGCATAAAGTAGTCTCTGACGTCTGAGTTGATCTTGTTGAAATGCAGTATTTTCGTCAATTAGAGATTGAATTTTTTCGCAAACATACACGTCACATCCACCAGAAAAATTTCTACCGAAACGAGCCGCTGCCTTCAGCCGAGCTTTAAACTCCATGGGTATGTGCTTGCTTCTGAGAAGATGTCCTAACAAGCTAAATATATTGTTCAAAAATTAATCTAACACTTAGGAAGATACTCTATATATTATAGCGAATTGTTCACTATACTAGATATACTACCTTTACTCAAGATTCTACAGCTAACTTTAAGTCACACACATATATGTGTGTACAGTTCCGAACTCGAAACTCTCTAATGTACAAAGCTCAAATATACATGGGAATCTCATTTTTATTTAAGCTAGTAGAACTGACTCATCAGACACAAAATTTATCCTATCTATACGTAATTAATAAAGATTACAGTGCCCTTCTATACAAAGAAGATTAAAAATAAATTAATGAACTACATAAGCAATATTCGAGTACTTGAGTAGCCATATGAGTATAATGTGATAAAATCTCAAATGATCACAGATAATTTCTACTTTCAATTCTCAAATACAAATACATAATGCATGGAAAAGTTAGCTTGTTGTACAGTTTATTGCTCAGAGCTAAACTGTTGCTATTCATCTTATAAGACATTTGTAACCATATGCACAGTGCATTATAACCAAATTGATCGTACACACAGTAATATTATTTCTTAAAACTTAAATAGCCACACACGCTCTCTTTATTATTGATAAAGGCAAAGTAATATTATGAACAACAGATACAGATCTAAATTAACGTTTGTACGACAGATATACATCAAAGTGTCATTTGCACAACATATACACATTTGAGTGACAGTATGCATCACATATGTGGGTTAAAGTGGTTGTATGCTCGACAGTTAAGGCCTAAGTGTCATATACACCTCAGATTCAGGTTTAAATCATCGCATGCACGACAGATGCAGGGCTAAGTGCCATATGCATGATAGAGAAGGTCTAAGTGTTGTACACACAACAGATACAGGTCTAAGTGGTCGTATTGTACTCATGTACTATGTGATCGTACGCATGACAGTTACAGCTCTCATTGGCATTATGCACGAGATACACATCTAAGTGATGTTAGGCACGTCAAATACAAATCCAAGTAGTCATGTGAACAACAGAAGAAGATGCAGGTGTCAATAATAACAAAACCTAACATAAAAGAAACCAATTACTTATCTAATTATTTTCACACACAAGTTGTATCTGAAGCTTCCCTATGAAACAGTGAATAATTTTACAAAGTACGCCTAACGGAAAAAGTAATATTTTAAGAAATTTCCAAAATCTTCCAATATATTTCAAAGCAGCTACTTTAGTTGAACTTTGCTACTTCATTTATAAGTAAATATGTTTGTGACGAACAAGGAAAATATAAATATAGTGTGATACATACATTGACGAGACGGTTAACTCAATTTCGGGACTTCTTCTGTTTACAGGATTGCTGAACTCACAAGCTAGTTTCTCCAAGCAGTGATCGTTTTTATCCAACATCCCGCTACATCGGAGGTAGTTTGCCATCATAGTTTCTTGCTGATCTGTATCGTAATGGATCTTTTGTAAATACGATGCTACAGCCTGAATTTCTTGTACTCTTTCTTTTTCGCTTTCTTCTGCATATCTCCGGCGTCTTTTTCTACCTGCTGCTCCTGCCGTCACTGTCACCGTCGGAATGGTAAGGGCAGCAGGCGCAATTAGTAGTCCTAGCAAAGGTGCCAGTAAAATTGGAATGCCTGCTAATGCTATAGCTGCAGCCTTCTTGGCTTTAAAGTTCTTCTTCTTTGGTCTAAAACCGTAGTAATAAGATCCGTGATATTCCCATGTTTCCGGTTTTTTGTGGTAGCTATATTCATCATTTGCTGTGGACGGGAAAAGATTTACTAAAGCAAAATATTGTTTATTCACCTAAAAATATGTATTTCATTTCACAGACGTTTACTAAATGTAGCTTACCCAAAGTTTCAGTGGTGACACAGTGTTCGTTCGACAGCTTCATGGAAGCCAAAAGATAGTTCTGAATGAGAGTTCAAGAATACCATACGTATTCAAAATCCAGAAATTATGGTAGGTTTGTTTGTAATTAAGCACAATGCTACACAATGGGCTATCTGTGCTCTGGCCACCACGGGTATCGAAATCCGGATTCTAGCGTTGTAAGTCAGCGGACATACCGCTGTGCCACTGGGGGCAATATGATAGGTACACACATAGCCAATTGACAGAGGAAACGTTCGAATCAATACGCTAAACAAGAATTATAGTAATTTCGCTAATCCTCAAAGAAAAACATAGCAATTCACAAGGTTGTTCAAAGTTACTTCATATTTTAATAACTTCTATTTGGAAGTATTTGATTTGCAGCACCGGAACTCGTGTGGTACTTCGTCACTGTGTGTGCCATGCTTATCTATTGTTCACATACACTGGCACCTCACACTCAAACAGATGAAACTTTAATAATTTAATATACTTATACGGAGCAACTAAATTTTGGACTCCTTTCTGAATATTTTAAAGATTTTAAGCTATATAGAGGCAGAGTTCACTAGGACATTGCAATTGCAATGAGAAAAAACTGACGTAGTGACATAACTCATCAGTTTATTACTAATTAATGATTTTTCATAAAGTAAACTGCTTACATTTTTTTTCATTTAAAGAATGAGATAAGTGATATATTAAGATATTCCTTTGTTATTTTGCCGTTCCAATTAACCATCTTGAAATTTCGTATATTGCCAAATTGGCACATTATGTTCAATAGGGATCGTTCAGTTCACATGGTAAATGTAGTGGAACAAGCACTAGTTAATAATAGATCAATATATACTTGTGTTCCTCTATTGCTAGTTTAATAGAATACAAAATAGACGTATTAGAAAAGTTTCTTAGAAAATTATAGCAAAGAGAGATACATTAAGTGCTCAAGTTCCCACTGACGAAGAAAGCACTTATCCATCCCGAAGTATAATGATAAAATAAAGTAAGCAGGTCAACATAACAGTTTGTCAAATTCCCCATAATAAAGAAACTGTTTTTGTTTGGTTATTTATTTTAGAATTTTCTCGTAAAGTTACATAAGGACAATCAAGTTTGAGCTGATATACTAGAGAGAAGGGAGATAGTAAGCAGCATCCACAGCCAAATTCTGGGCTACACTTGCCTGTCTGAACAAAGAGTTTCCACAATCACTTTTTCAGCGTTTCTCCAGCAATGAACGCGAATCGTGAATCCGTGGATTCACAATCCAGACACGTTAATCTTTAGGTTCGGCCACGAGGTTTTCGAATTATATTGGTCAGGAAAGAAGTTTAGTATGTGCGCCACACCAAAACAGTTATTCATATAGTGTCATTATCACAGGAGATTTAAAATGTTTTAGAAAACTCCATTAGTTTGTGCTTGTTAATAATAGAATAACTTGAGAGTAAGAATCAATAAAGTAATATTGTACTTATACAATATCTAGTATGATTAGTCGAGAACAAGCATCAACACATATATTCCTACTTATGCACTATCTAGTTAAATAAGTCGTAGGAAAACTTGCAGTAACTATGATGTTTTATGCTATAAAGCCTATTAGATCTCAGACAGATAAAACAATTCGAAATGATGTTTGAAAATATTGTTATATTGAAATATTCTTTCATTAACATTTTCACATTACTTATTTGTGCCCCCCAGTTGGCACAGCGATATTTTTGCGGACTTACAACACTAGAAATCAGGTTTCGATAGCCGTAGTGAGCAGAGCACAGATAGCCGTTGTGTAGCTTTGTGCTTAATTTAAATAAACCAAATACTTATTCGTTATCTCTAAGTTTTTAATCATCACGCTTTGCCATAAGTTGTTTTGTTTTCAGGGTTACAAAATCTTTAAAACTTTAATTATAAGAATCAACGAAAAGTTAAACCATTTCAATTGTACATTCATTTTGTATTTTACAATTAGATCAAAGTCAAGATTAAATCCACATAAATTAAGAATATATTCACGTAAGATAAGACTAAATCCACATAAATTAAGGACGTTAATTAAGGCATCGAACCCCCACCGAGGGTTTTCTTTTAAAGAGAGATTGGATGTTGTAGCATTTTATGTAAGCCAATAACACAACTGTTGGTACTTTGTACTTTCATAATTCTTGCTGTTGTATGATGTTATAGTAATTAGAAACCCCGATGTTGAACTTCTGTAGTTTCGAAATGTTTGACATTTTAGGATACTATATAAAGTGATGCTACATTTTCTAGTTTCATTATGCTTGTTATTGTGTCCCTCCGTACATTTACGCTACAATTCGGGGTACAATTATCCGCGGTGAACACAGCAGATAGCACAAAGTGTGTATTTTTTTAACAAACAAATAAGCTCTTATGCCTAAGTTATGGGAATGTAATAACACTATTTCTGGTAGGGGTGCTTACCTGGTTTATGATGCTTGACGTTATATGATGCTATAGGGAAGTAATATCCCTGTTGTTGTTTTTTACTTCCGAACAAGGCTCTGGGAATTCTGTTCTTCATTGTGTTATTACTGCCTCTTTCGTGTTGTTCATTATTAATACTACTTCCCACTCCAAGTGTCAAAAGAAACAGCAGAACAATAAACGCAATCTTCCATATATGACCATTAGAGGGCCTAGGATAACAACAAAAAATACTGGTATAATGAGATTTATTATATGAGATGTCCTTCATTTCACAGAAAGCAGTTCATTGTTACTGTAAAGGCAGAATGCTAGTTAGACGTCCGGCCTAATGCATGGAAATAAAAGGTATATTTTTACACGGGAATATCATTCATGAATTAAGTGGTATTTCACTTAAGATAATTAACTTGAATATCCCTATCGAGTGCTAGCAGGAAATTTATTTAAATATTCTGAACTCGAAACATTATGGCTTTGACAAGATATGAACACAAATGCAAAGCAGTAGTATGTTATATTAAAACAAACTCTACGAATTAATAGCTAACAAAATAATCTAAATGAAACTTTTACCACCAACTCATCAGCAAGGATTCGCATAAAGTTTTCTAAATTAGCCCCTACCAGTTGTAATTAAAGATCAATAAATACATACCACAGATTAAACTTCGTGTTCTAATAAAATAAAACTCCATAATTATTATATACATTTCACCATTATAAGAGGCCTAATAGTAGTGCTTTGGTTTGCTGACCCAAACTGTGCTGATGAGCCTTGAATAGACAAAACTGCTAATCAAACGACGCATTAGGCCTCTACGTCACAGATTCTCTTTTCAATTTCACCTCTGGTGAAAAAGAAAGAAATCTCTAACAAATCTATACAAAACATATTTTGGTTTCATATACATTACTTTTACGCTATCGTTCGTCATAACAATATGACACAACCATCTTTATTCGGGTGATAACGTTCTATTGTGATTAACAATCTTATGCACGAGCCACTAAAAATTAAAATGTAATATTCACATTTGTATTTCACATATTTATTTTTCTTTCTGCCAAAATGCTACATAATGCTAATGATTTGAACAGTATGAAACATTTCCCTTCCATTCAGTTACCTAACAAAATTCAATATGTTGAGTAACTATCAATGTACAGGGAAGAGCTTAAGATTCTAATAGCCATCATATAAAAAGCACATTCTGTCATCAGCTTCAACTAATCAGGGAAGATAACTCTAGTAAATATAATTTCGAAACCTACTAAACTTCTATGTTGCACAGAAAAGACACGCCACTAGTTATACTATTGCTTACGGCAACTATCATAGACAAGTCACTCTACGAGATATATAGTCACCTCCTTCTGACAATCACCAGATATAATTTCATCTTCTGTCAAAAACTACATGGACACCATAAACAAGTCTTTTCACCAGATATAATTTCATTTTCTGTCAACAACTACATGGACACCATAAACAAGTCTTTTCGCCAGATATTACTTCACTTTCTGTCAACAACTACATTTAGCACAAATAAACTATTTCAGCGATTACTGTTCTGCTTTTTGTGACCAATCTATATTTCCCCAGAGCTCCATTCTACCAGATTTAATACTATTTTCTCTTAACGATTTTAGCTCTAACAGAAAAGCTATTCCATCAGTTAACATTTTTTGCTAAATACCTTTGATTTTGAAAGAAAATGACTTTTAAACTTTAAAATATCTCTTTCTCTAAATATTGCAGTTTCCATTAAATATTCATTGCCTGTGATATTTCTTTCCTTGTTTCCACTCTCAATTCATTCCACGATAATGTTCTTACTATAAGTCCCATTTGCAGGAACATTTAATCAATACTAATTTATTTCTATAAATTATTTTTTCGTTGCTTCTCAGGAAATCTAATTCTAACAATAGCTTGCTTATACTTTTAACAACAACTCCAGAACTGGAAATAGAATATCATGCAGGGAATATAGAAAAAGACAGCAAATAAACAATACATAATAATATGGGAAGAGTCCAGAATATTAACGCCTATTTATTCAGAGTTCTAAAAAGATTGCTATATCTCAAATATCACCGACTTTTCTGTTGCAATATTCCATGTAAATAAACTTACCTTTCAGAGAAAGTACCTAGTTCAGCAAAATAAGCTATTGTTTAGGAATTTTAGTCTTCAAACTATCATTTCAAAGACTTCAAACTTCAAATAAAAAACATTAAATTATGCACACAAAGAATTATAAGTATTATCATCGCTCATTAATAAGATTGATGAATTTTTAGAATATTTTTCTTTGTAATGCTCCATAATTTACCTTAGAACCATAAAGATTGGCTTTATCTTGCCCATCAAGAAAATGGTTGTTTCTAGAGGAACTAGTACAGTACACGATGGACTCTTGATACCCACTACATATAACAATATACTCGCCACAGTATTTATAACTTTTATGCATGGTTGTCTTTGATGCTTAAGTACCCTAGTGACATATTTTTACTGAATTTTAAAATCTAGGTTTCATGCTATTTTCTTTGTCGCGAGTATTATTGGAAGAGTGCCAAGATCAAGTCAAGAAATGTAACTATGTTTTTTACGGGTTTATTAAAGAGAATTAGCTGAATAGCAACGTTGACGTCAAGTGCACATTTCTTACCACAGTTCATATTAACAATATAAAAATCACACGCTTTAATGCTTTTCGTGTATCCTTTAGAGGTTAAATCACGGTCGGTAGCATCCTAAGATTGTAGTGCTTAAAACCTCTATGGTCAAACAGGTTGAACTTTTAGAGGAAACCGAACGTTCGCTCGGTTAATCATAATATACAGCCTTTCATAATATGAACTTTTGTTACTCACTAACAATCCAAAATTCAAATCCAGTGCATCGCACTATTACTAGACCATTTCTTCACTAATATATACAACTTTGCACACCCTATGTACTCTTAAATCACAAAAAGCAGATTAATTTAAACTTTGAAACACTAACCTACTGGCCTTGTCCTTAAATGCGAGTATACTTTACAAAACATTTGTCTGCTATCAAATACAAAGTTGTGAGTTAAGTATTTCTAAGTGGTGGCAATATGTTAAAACAGTTTGCGACGCATTTATTTTAAGTGTGTACGGTATGCTTTCCTTATCCTCTCCATTTCATATTATTATTATTTATTAAAAATTCCGTAATTTTGGTTTTGTTCCTTCGTCTATTAATTGTCAGTCCATTTGATTCAAACCACGTCTAATAAAAAGTGGTTTTAACAAAGATGCAATCAAATATATGCATATACATTTATATGAAATTTGTCTTTTTCTTCCTTTACTACAGCCTTTAATTTGCTTGATTACTTTAGCGGTTTCTCTTATAATTTAATAATACTCAGTTTTACTACAACACTGTTCACTTAGATTGTGTGGTAACTGGTTTTGTTAGGAAATAACTTTTCCTAAGTTTGACTCTAATATTCTTAAAATTAAATATGCTAGTGAAAGGAAAATAATGTATGAATGACGCAACTGATATTTACCTCAAATCATATTCTTTCAATAAAGAAATATAATGACAAAAAAAGACAAAATTTAAATTTCACAGAATTATTAATATAATTTAATCACAAAATCCTAAGTTTGTAAAACATATCAGAGACAGTGCAAAAACTTCATAAAATTATATAAAGCAATAACAAGGAGAAAATCAAACATATAACAGATCTATTAATAGATATTGATCACGCATTTAAAAGGTTGGTTTATTAACAGAAATTGATCAAACATATAACAGCTTTATTAACAGATATTTTTGAAGAAACAAAACTTCCATTTTAAAGTCTAATCTCAAATTAAGCTCCCTGAATTAAATATTTTAACACTACTTTATGTGACAAGCTTCTTGCATTAGATAATATTATGCAACTTTTGCGACATTGAACAGTTAGAAACCTAAATTACTATTTTATATATAGATTAAAAACAAATAGAGACATTGAGTGTAAGAAAAGCAAAATAATAACAATAGAATCAAATTTTTCTAATTCCAAAAGACATATTCATAGAGATAAATACATAATGTATGTTACTGAAGAACAAACAAGTTCCTAAAGTTAATATTTATTTCCAATGTTATATGAAAACAACGCAAGTTACAGTAGATTGATGCCTTCAGTGCTGTTTTAGGGAGGAAGACGAACATAATATCAGTATACAAAATGGTAACAGTTCTTTGGTAATATTGTTTACGGATATTTACAATCCAGGTCTCTTACAAATACTCAAATGTTATAGTAATACCGCCTGTCTAATTGTGGAAACAAAGGTTTGTTTTAAAAACAACTAAAAATGACGTTTTTATTTTAATAGACTGGTGCGTCACATGAGCTAAACGGATAGGTTTGAGACCCCAAAGCTCAGGCATAATTTTTCTTAAATTAGAACTGCCGATAAAGTGAGAGCCACCTATTAGCAAGACTCGCCGCCCTTACGATGAACAGAGGGACAGACTGTAGTGTAATGTAAAAATGTCGTGTATATTATATAGGTAAACCAGTAATGTATTTACTCAAGAAGAAATTAAGTTTTATGAATATGAAGACCAACCTACAATTGTAAGCTTGAGACACAATGATTTGTAAACTTAGTTTGTTAGGCTGTTATTTTGTCTCGGATAAACTTTGTTCATTAAGCTCATTTACCAATAATTTATGGTGGTACTGTGTATTTTATGTACTAAAATAGTTTAATATGTGTGTTTATATCATAACTAAAGGCCTCCATAACTTAAAAAATATGTAAATCTTTATTATTACAGATTTTCACTACTTTAATACAAGTTTCTGTACTTAGTAAACTCTATATGGACAGAATGTGTCCACCTTGAACTCTTAGATAGTAACATATGGTCAAAGTACAAGTATATCTTTCTTTCTGTTTGTACTGAATACTCAGTAAGTCGTTGATTAGTTTTCAGCGTCTCTTTGGCGAGTTGGTTATATCTGGAAACAGAGATGCTGGAAACCATCCTTTCTCTAAATCGGACTAGTGAGATGACTTGGGTGATATAACACTGTGATAAAATTTCGTGAAGTTAGAGATAGAATATAATCTTAAACTTTTTTTTTCTTTGATTTGACATAGGTGATAACATACGGTTCACTATGCATCCATTGCAGAAGAGAAACCTTATATATAAGGAGCAAGTGGCTAGTTGTACGTGTTCATAGACATTTTACGTGCCACCTTTAGTTAGCACGTATGTAATGTTTTAGATTAAAAGTATCACTGTTTCCTTGATAAACGATGTTAAGAAAGCAGATAGGTTCAAAAAATCAATTAAAGACAAAAATTCAACTGTATTGTTTGTTTGTTTGGAATTAAGCACAAAGCTACACAATGGGCTATCTGTGCTCTGCCCACCACGGGTATCGAAACCCGATTTCTAGCGTTGTAAGTCCTCAGACATACCGCTGTGCCACTGGGGGGCATTCAACTGCATAACACGAGCGCTGTAAAAAGTTGGGCTTTTTCTCATCTCTGACAAACTGGGAATGACTAACTACAACTAAGTGTGATAAAATGTGGAATAAGGTCATAGCAGACGACCATGACAACCTGGAAGTGCTTTAATTAGCTTACAATGGATTGCTGCAAGTGTGTCTCATTTTCGTTGTGCAATACTGTAGGTTTAATTGATTGTTTGCTTTGTAGCTAAGCACAAAGCTACACACAAATGGCTATCTGTGCTTTGCCCACCACGGGTATCGAAGCCGCTGTGCCACTGGTGGCATACTGTAGAGCACTAAAATGTAAACTTTAAAAATATTATAGAGGTTTGTTTCAAAAAGAAAACAAGGGAAACTATATTGAGTATTGATAAAGTAAAATAAAGATGTGATAGGAAGATCATTTAAAAAGAAAATCTTAAGTTGATAGAACTAAAAAGTGAAGAAAAAACATGGAAAACTATCATAAGTAAATTATAAGTATTAAGAAAAACTGGGGAAAAAATAAAGAATTCACAAAACATGTGAGAAAGGAAAAACTTTTAATCATACTTGTCATCAGACATTAGCATTAGGACTATTATACTCTCCAACCATGCATTCTTCATTCAGTCCATGTTCGTTTTTCTCTGTATGGGAAAAGTTGTTAACCACTGGGATTGTGTAGGTTATCAGAACCAGTGTTTACGATTCTCACCACAGGCTGGAATTGCCTATAGCTAACAGAGAGAGGTGGGAATGCCATTTGAGAATAATATCCGTCAGCTCCAGCTATCTGACCATCAGGTGGTGTAGAGTATATCTTGGAAAGAGACTGAGGGCCTCCAAAAGCAGTCATGAGCTATCCTGAAAACAGCAGCCCTGCAATATGTGTACATGTAGTGAAAGCTACATGTCCATATAAATGGTGAAGCCTCTAGACAACAAGAAGAGCTGGTACCTATCTGGATAGTATCACCTCAATCATATGTCAGTCAAGGAATCACAGGCAGATCTTTGCATTCACTTCCACAGCCTAATGGTGGTATAAATAAGCAACTTATCTATCAACCTGTAGAGGGATGGCTAACAAGAACATAGGTCAGTTCTTGAAGAATTTCAAACAAGTAATTACCTGGAATGGTTGGACTCAGAGATATGTGATGCAGTACCGGATACTGAGCTTAAATGCTCATGAAACTGCTACTTTCAGTGACTGAGGTACATTTGTATCTGCGCTATGCCAAAACTTCAACATAGCCATCTACTGGTCAAAAATTAACGCTTTAAAACATGGAGAGAGTATTCCATAAGAACTTCCAATACCTACCTAAAAAGGCTTATCCTAGTTTGTCATTACCAACTTGTGAAATAATTACAATTGCTAAGTTCATTAACTCTATCATGGTTGGTGAGCTTCTCTCAGGTGTCATATGTATCCGAACTTCAAGATTTAAGTAAAAGTAATAACTCTACAATTATTTTAAGGATTTATAACTCAAACATATTTTAAATATTTTAGAATATTTATTTTGTCATCTTGAGATATTTATCGAAACCATTATTTAACAAAAGTGTATGTGTGTGTCAGCTCATAACTGGCAAACTGCTGGACACGGATAGTCACCAAACATGGCATGTAATCTTATGGACACCGGAGAGCGTAACGGAGAGTCGACGTTTGTATGTAGACCCTCCCCACCCCAAAGTGACCCTCGGAGGTCCCTTGGGTTAAATGGGTACATCAGATAGTCTAGTGCAATATGCATAGCAAATATATAAGAAAATGCTCAAACTTTAATTTCTACGCAGCTTCTAAAAGTCTCCTCTGTAAACAACACATTAGTTTTTTTCTCTGGCTTTCTTAAAGCATAGGTTTATACTTATAATGGCTGGAGACGGCTTGAATGGGTAATGAG